CTTTCGTACTTATTGCATTTACTTTGTCACTTGCTTCTTCTTCTCTTTTTATTAGATAATTTAGTTGTTGTCTGTTAAAAGAAAATTTTCAAAGTGGTTTTTAAAATTTTAGATCTTTAACTCAATATTCTGACACTTGTGGAAGAGATTTGTAGTTATTTTAGTCCAAATTTAATATTGTAGTTCGATATATATTAGGATAATCATACTTTAACAATATTTTTTTGACAATATTTTAATTTTATATATGTGTTATTATGTGATTGGTCTATTTTGATGTTTATGAATATTATTATTAATTGTGAATAATTTTAAATCAGTCATAGAATAACACATAAATAATGTTAAAATTTAAAAAAAATTATCAAAATATCATTATGTAGATTAATATCTGTCGTGCTAGTAAGAGTTTATTACTTTCATTACAGCATGTAATTATGTGTACGACCAATCATATAAAAATGTATACTTAAAAGGAATGAAAAGGCTGAAAAATAATCAAGGAATTCAAACAAAAAAGAGAAAAGAGCTTATTATTAATTATTTATACAGCATTTGTATTTTTTTTACATCAATCTAACTTTATTATTTATTTTCATTCACTCTCTTATAATTTTTCCTCCATCCAAAATATCTTTATGATAATAATATGAATAAAAATAGGAAATAATATTTTTTATAAAAAATATGAATTATTAAATTTTTGAATAATTCTTTAAAAAATAATTATCACCTTAACAAATACTTAATTATTGTATTTATTATTCACAAATCATTAATTGAAATTATATAAAATATTTTCACTATAACTTCCATAGGCAACCCATGAAATTCAAATTTCCAATAGTACCCTTCTTCTATTATATGGTAATGAAATAGGCACACCATCATCTAATTTATATTTCAAAAAGATGCGTTCTTATGCAATCTGAAACATAATTTTATCTTTTGCTCTGAAAACAAATTTTAACTTTTTTTGTTATCCATTAATTTTGTAATTGTTTAATTCAAAATAAAGAAATTAAATTAAAAAAATTATAAATTATACAATTTGTAACATAATTTTAACATTTAAATTGCAAAATTATTTTTCAAAATTCACTCGGACTTTATTCCATGCAATTTCAGAAGAGAAGAACGCGATTTGCAATTGTCAACTGTAACTATTTCAGAGACATTGAAGATCAATGTTGGTGGTATTGGCAGCAAATAGTTGCCGACTGATGAAAGTGAAAGTGCGCGTTAATGTCACTCATGAACAGTGGAATCATCAACTGGGTGCCAGTATCGATTGAAAAACCAAACGGAATCAGCCTCCACAGCAATTCCATCATGATTTCGGTTCCAGCTGTAATGAGCATGCGTTCGGTTCTTTATGGAAAATATGGCATGTCCAAAGCTGGATTCTCTGTATGCAGAATACTCAGGTTGTGGTTCTGTCATGCTGCAGTTCAAACGTTGTTCATATCAGACTTAGTAAATACATGTTCAAGCTTAATGACATAAAAGTAAGGAGAAATCTGACAAGAATCATCATGTTACGTTCAATGAGCTTACTTGGTTGCTAAGCCTTCAAGGTTTCCTCCATCACCAACGGTGATATATACAGGAGCTGATTGATCTTTTACAGGAGTGCAAATGCCATTTACAACGTTGTATGCAATGTTAGAAACACGTTCCTGATACATAGCAGCCCATCAATCATATACTCATTCCAAAGAGATTATTAAAATGCATTTGTGCAATACTTTTGTTGTTGTTTTCCTTCTTAAATTTTACGAACAGAATATGTTTTCAAGCTTGTAAGCCTGATGGTACATGATTGATATTGGTGGCTTTCAGAAGAATTAGAAATTTCAAATGAAGTCAAGTTCTAGCACTTACAGATCGTTCATAGGCATGAACATGACCAGCAAACACAACATCAACCTTGTACTCCACAAACCAGGTTTCGAACATTACTCTCATTGTTTCTCCTTCCATGTAGTGATGATTGTAGCTATTGTACCAAGGTGCATGCATGAGAACAATCAACCAAGGAGTCTCTGTCCTGTTAACTTTCGGTAGCTCCTGTTCAAGCCATCTATACTGTGGCGTATATTTGCCTGAGAATAACGATGATTATTATAACAAAAGCGCTACCACTTTCAAAGTATTGGCATCACAGATAAGGTGAGCATTGAATCCAAAACGAAACAGACACGCAGATTAAGTGTTGTTGGTCAAGAACTTAACGAAACCGACATCATGCTTGTAGATAGACAATAACATTCCACATGAAGGTTGATACATTCATATAGATAGATACAGATCTAAGAGCTGAAATGATTTTTGCATAATTTCATCTTTCAGCCGTAAATTATAGCTAATTGTTAAGTGAAATTATTACAAACAGAACCCAGTTAATCTAAAATCATAGAATTAATGTATGATGCAAAAGACGTAGGAGGAAATTACCATATGCTGAATATGAGGACAAGACAATGATGTGCGCTGAAGCTCTCTTGATAGAATACCAGAAGGGTGAAGTGCTCTGAGATGCTTTGTAAGGAACATGGTAACGATGGGAATAAGGCTTGAAAGGTACGGTTACACCCTTCAACAAAGTTTTCATCTATGTTAAAAACTCTATTCTTACCAACATTTGGACTGGGAAAATGCATCACACCAAAGTTATGATTTATTGTTGAAAAACACAGAGTTTTTCAGATAGTTGAAACAAAATAGAGTCAATTCGTTTGAGAAGCTTACTACATCCGGATAGTAATCAAGTTCATGGTTCCCTGCAGTCCAAATCCATGGTTGATACGCAACACTTCTTTCTGTAAACCTTCCCCAAGTATCCCACCTCGCATTATCATGATTCGGGTACTGATCCGCATAGGAGAGGTCTCCAAGAAACAGTACAGTTTGTCCCTTTTTTGGACTCAATTCATAGTGAGAAAGAGTCACATTTGAATCAAAACTCTGACCGAGATCCCCTACAAATAATGCCACACCAGTTTACAACAAACATATTGGCCTATTAAGACACAAACATATAGCACTTTTTTATCTCAAATTAATAAAAAACACTAACCTATAAGTCCAAATGTGTATGGAACATCAGGGCCAATTTCAGGTGGAGTTACAAACCAAAACTGCCGTGTTGTGTTGCCAAGTCCAACTTCGTAGTAGTATTTGGTGTTGTACTGCCCCAAAACAAGCACACATATCAGCAATTTATTCACAAACCAAAATGCCCTTTTTCTTTTCTCTCACAAGCTTCTCTTCCTTGATCTCCATCTGGACAACAAACAGCATAACATTTAAATAATGGAAAAGAGAAGTACCTCCAAATGTCTGATGGTGGTGTGATGAATAAACCCAGATGAGTAATTATTTAAGAACCTATAAGTAACAATTTTTCCTTCTGCAATCTTCTTCTTCCCACTGTTCTCACTCCAGTAACGCACTGCACTCGACCCCGGTTCATCCATCGTCACCCATGACACTATCATCCCCCTCCCCACATAGTCACCTTGCGTTATATGAACCTTATGCATAGCAGCCATTGTCATTGATTCAATTCAAACAAAGAAAAAACCCCTAAAGGGTCACAAAATGCAAAAGTATCAAAAAGGGAATTGGAATTTCATCTCCAAAATATGTATCCTAAAGATTTCTATTGAATATCATATCAACTCACTTTGTTAAAGGGAAATTCCAATTCTAAAACACAAAAAACAGTTCAAGTAGCGAATGAAGCAGCAGCACAGTAATTGATTAACTAAGCAAAGAATCATTCACAATTTTTCTCAACTCCAGAGTAAGTTTTCTGCTATCTTACATCAACATAGAAACAAAATTACAAAACAAGGGAAACCCAATAAGGTACAAAAGAAGAAAGGGTAGAGTATGTACCTGCTGCGGAGCATTATAACCAGGAGGAACAGAAAATACATCACTGTCAAATGGCATATCGTTAGATAACTCGGTTTTCCTAACGAAGAGGCTGCTTGTGCCTCCATTACACACCACAACAACATTCAGAACCAAATTTAAAACTAAGAGACCCTCCAAAACACCCATTTCGCTCAAACCCCGTTATGCTACTGATCCAAGTCCAAACACTCGATCGCCTATTTATTATTTCAATCCAATGAAATCGGTGAAATAATTACAATAATAATAATAAAAGTTTGCTAATTGTTATGACTGGCACAATATTCAGATTAAGGGTCAACGTGACAATGGGACCATGAAGCTTGAAAACGTTGTCCATGGTTTTCTTGCGGTTTAGTTAAGGCAGTGACTGATAACAGTAATAATGATAAAATATCTATAGCAGTAATTTTGAAGGATCCGTGTTCCTTCCAGGTCACATCGTGCATGTGTAATAATTTCTTTCAGTTCTCTCTCTATCTCTCACACTCATACACCCGTTCATCCTTTTTCTTTGTCTCTTTCTCTTCCATTCATATAAAAAGAAATCGTTGGCTAGATTTTTTTGCAATAATGTTGACGTTGACTGAAAAAGTTGACTTTGAAGATAAAGGTTGCAGCTTATGGTTGAGAATAGACTGGGGAATGGCGTTCACACCATTGAAGTTGACCGAATGAACCGTATAACCCTACCATAAGACTTATTACTCTTTTGCTTCTAATATTCGGTCCCTGTGTCCATGAGCAGAAACATTGTGCATGCAACTACACATTTATCGTTCCTTAAATTAGTAACAAGTTCGAAAATTAGTGGGACTAATTACAAACAATTTTTTTATAGGTACTAAAACTTTTTCTTGCATTTTAAAAAACTTTATACCCCACTTTTCTTTTTAACGGATTTTGTAATCTGTTCAAGTTTTTGAAAATTCTTCAAAGGGATTTGAAATTTATTGAAAGACTTTTTATTTTGATATATGTTTAAAAATGTTAATTTTGGAATGTGAGGATGCAGGAAAAATATAAAGGGAGAAATATAAAGAAGTGCAGGAGAAACACTCTTTACTAAATGATACATAAAAATAGAAGAAGCACGCAATTTGTATTTATCAACTGTGACAGAGATTGAGAGACATTGATAATCAATGTTGGTGGTATAGGCACAAATTAGCTGTCGAATGACGAATTTATTGATATAAAATTATACATTGTTATACTAAAATCAGTGGAAGTGTGCGTCAATGTGAAACATGAACGGTGGAATCATCAACTGGGTGCCAGTATCGGTTGAAAAACCAAACGGAATCAGCCTCCACAGCGAGACCATCTTGATTTCGGTTCCAGCTGTAGTGAGCATGAGTTCGGTTCTTTATGGAAAATATGGCATGTCCAAAGCTGGCTTCTCGGTATGCAGAATACTCTGGTTGTGGTTCTGTCATGCTGCAGTTCAAATGTTGTTCATGTCAGACTTTGTAAATACTTGTTCAAACTTAATGACATAAAAGTAAGGAGAAATGTGACAAGAATCATCATGTTACGTTCGATGAGCTTACTTGGTTGCTAATCCTTCAAGGTTTCCTCCATCACCAATGGTGATATATACAGGAGCTGATTGATCTTTTACAGGAGTGCAAATGCCATTTACGACGTTGTATGCAATGTTAGAAACACGTTCCTGATACATAGCAGCCCATTAATCATATACCCATTCGAAAGAGATTATTGAAGTGAATTTCAGAAGCATTAGAGATTTCAGATGAAGTCAAATTCTAGCACTTACAGATCGTTCGTAGGCATGAACATGACCAGCAAACACGACATCAACCTTGTACTTCACAAACCAGGCTTCGTACATTACTCTCATTGTTTCTCCTTCCATGTAGTGATAATTGTAGCTATTGTACCAAGGTGAATGCATGAGAACAACCAACCAAGGAGTCTCTGTCCTGTTAACTTTCGGTAGCTCCTGTTCAAGCCATATATATTGCGGCGTATATTTGCCTGAGAATAACGAAGATGATTATAACAAAAGGGCTACCAATTTCAAAGTAGGTGTGCATTTAATCCAATAAAAGAACAGAGTGGCAGAAGTAAGAACTTAACTTTATATGTTTGAATAGACATACACACACAGATTATTAACGTAAGTGTCGTTGGTCATGAACTTAAGGACACCGACATCATGCTTTTAGATAAACAACAACGTTCCACATTAAGTGGATACATAAAGATAGATACAGGCTTAAGAGCCGAAATTATTTAGCATAATTTTATTTTTCTGTTGTAAATTATAGCTAATTCCTAAGTGAAGTTATTACAAACAAAACTGAGTTAATCTGAAATCATAGAAAAGTATGTATGATGCAAAAGACGTTGGAGGGTATTACCATATGCTGAATATGAGGACAAGACGATGATGTGTGCTGAAGCTCTCTTGATAGAATACCAGAATGGTGAAGTGCTCTGAGATGCTTTGTAAGGAACATGGTAACGGTGGCTGAAAGGCTTGAAAGGTACGGTTTCACCCTGCAACACAGTGTTCATCAATATTAAAATCTCTCATCTTACCAAAATTTGGACTGGGAAAATGCATTACACCAAAGTTAAAATTTTCGTTGAGAAAAACAAAAGGAAGTTTTTCAGATAGTTGAAACCAGATAAAGTGAATTGGTCTGAGAAGCTTACAATTTCTGGAGCAAAATCAAGTTCATGGTTCCCTGCAGTCCAAATCCATGGTTGATATGCAACACTTCTTTCTGTAAACCTTCCCCAAGTATCCCACCTCACATTATCATGATTCGGGTAGTTATCAGCATAAGAGAGGTCGCCAACAAACAGTACAGTTTCTCCTTTTCTTGGACTCAATTCTTAGTGAGAAAGAGTCACATTTGAATCAAAACTCTGACCGAGATCCCCTACAAATAATGCCACACCAGTTTACAACAAACATATTGGTCTATTAAGACACAAACATATAGCACTTTTTTATCTCAAATTAATAAAACACACTAACCTATAAGACCAAATGTGTATGGTACATCAGGTCCAATTTCAGGTGGAGTAACAAACCAAAACTGCCGTGTTGTGTTCCCAAGTCCAACTTCGTAGTAGTATTTGGTGTTGTACTGCCACGAAACAAGCACACATATCAGCAATTTATTCACAAAGCAAAATGCCCTTTTTCTTTTCTTTCACAAGCTTCTCTTCCTTGTTCTGCATCTGGACAACAAACAACAAAACATTTAAACAATGGAAAAGAGAAGTACCTCCAAATGTCTGATGGTGGTGTGATGAATAAACCCAGATGAGTAATTGAAGAACCTATAAGTAACAATTTTTCCTTCTGCAATCTTCTTCTCCCCACTGTTCTCACTCCAGTAACGCACTGCACTCGACCCCGGTTCATCCATCGTCACCCATGACACTATCATCCCCCTCCCCACAAGGTCACCTTGCGTTATATGAACCTTATGTATAGCAGCCATTATCATTGATTCAATTCAAACAAAACAAAAAAAAACTCCCAAAGGGTCACAAAATGCAAAAGTATCCAAAAGAGTACTTGAATTTCATCTCCAAAATATGCATCCTAAAGATTTCTATGGAATATCATATCAACTCACTTTCTTAAAGTGAAATTCCAAAACACAAAAAACAGTTCAAGTAGCGGATGAAGCAGCAACAGCAACACAGTAATTGATTAACTAAGCAAAGAATCATTCACCATTTTTTCTCAACTCCAGTGTAAGTAAATCCTTTCCTATCTTACATAGAAACAGAATCAAAAAACAACAAAACCAGAGAAGGTAGAGTATGTACTTGCTGAGGAGCATTATAACCAGGAGGAACGGAAAAAACATCACTGTCAAGCGGCATATCCACAGTCTTCTCGATTTTCCTAGTGAAGAGGCTGCTTGAGCCTCCATTACACACCACAACCGCATTCAGAACCAAAGCTAAAGCTAAGAGACCCTCCACAACACCCATTTTGCTCAAACCCTCTGATGCTACTGATCCAGGTCGCAACACTCGGATAGCCTATTTATTATTTCACTTTCAATCCAATGCAATCAATTTGTTAATAATAATAATAACAAGGGTTTACTAATTGCTACGAATGGCATATAACAAGGAATATCCAGATTAAAGGTCAACTCGACAACGGGACCATGAAGCTTGCAACGTTGTCCATAGTTTTCTTCAAAAAAGAAAACACAAGAAACCGCGGAGTCTACGATAACGGCATGGACCGAAAAAACAAACCAATGTGTTCGATTTAGTTATGGCTGTGGCTGATAGCAGTACGGGTAAAATACTTACTGTAAAATATTTATAATAATAATAATAATATTCATGGATCCGTGTTGCTATCAGGTCACATCATGCAAGTATATTTTTCTGTCGATTCTCTCGCTAATTCTACTAATCATCGTTAAATATATGATAATATTGTTTAGCAAATCTTCATTAAGATAATCACGATCCTTTTAGACCTGTTATAAGATGCAACACCATGGACTTATGATCAAAACCCGTAGGATTATTCCTGTTTCTTTTCTCTCTCTCCATCTCTCTGTCTTCTTCACACGTGAAAAGGACATTGTTTGCAAGATTTTTGATGCAATTGTGTCGATGATGGCTGAAAAAATTGACTTTGAAATGCAATAAGTATTTTGCAGCATATGATTTGAGAATAGATTTGGAAATGGCGTTTACACCATTCAAGTTGCCCGAATTGACCGGACAACCCCACTAACACTATGATCACTGTTCTATATTTGGCATCAAACGTTGTCTCGGAATCTTTTTTTAGTCGTTTTTAGATTAGATTCACTCGTTGTGTTTTTCAATGTCACTCTGAAAACACAAAGGGTCACACCATATCAAATCATCCCTGTCACCCAAAAATTTCAATTCATCAAACAGTTTTTCTGCAGCGTCTACAAATTTTTATCTAATCTTTGAACATGTAAAAATGATATTTTTTAAGCTAACGGTCGGATCTCATATATTTACATTCATTTAATATATCTAACAAAAATAAAAATAAAATAGTTATAAAAAATGAATTTTTATAGTTTTTAGAAAAAAGAAAATAAAAAATAGCGGTGTCAAAAAATTATGTGTGTCAAATTATATTTTTTAAAATTTTATTGAATACTATCATGAGAAACTTTTTTTTCTATTTATATATATATATATATATATATATATATACATATATGGCTTAATACTAATTTTGGTCCTAATTTTTGTCAATTTTATTCGAAATGGTCTTAATTTTTTTTCTTCTGTTCAGTGTTTTCTTAAAGAATGTAATTTATGTTCAATTTAGTCCTTTTTGCAGACGACGTTTAAATTGTTAACGGTGCACTGTCCAACTGTACAATAAGTGAATGTCATGTCATTTAACTGTTGACCTGCCTTGACTGAAACATGACACAGCCAATGAGGGACTGCCACGTGGCAGCCCCTTCCCCACCCAAAAAATGAGGGTTTTTGAATGCAAGGGGGAAAGGCCTCCTTATGCCTATTGACCATAGTGGGTCTGTCGAAGTTTCACAGAAACGAGAGCGAACTCCTTTCTCGCGGCGCGGTGAGGATTGCAGCAGCAACGCCACCGTGAAGGTTCAATCTCTGACGTAGTCGCGATGCGAGAAGTCCATCGTTCTCAAGCGGTTTCGCGACAATAGGACTCGCGATTGAGGGTTTCGATTTGGGGGTTTTTGTTGTGTTATATGCTTTTTGTAAATTGGAATATATGATTTTTGTTTCAAAATTGATTTGGGGAATTCTTGGTTCTTCTCTGTTTTGTGAGTGGTTAGGGAGTCTGTTCTTCCCTATAGGTCTGAGTTTTGGGTTTTGCAAAGTGAGGGATGATGGTTCAGATTGGGAATGTTAGGGTTTCTGAACTTGGAATATTCTTTTGGAGTATGTATCTTATTTGTTCTTTGGAAGGATGTTGGTTCTGGTGATCACGATTAGGGGTGGTCCTTTCTTGATCTTTTTCCATGAATTTGTTTTTTCGTTTTGGGTTCATTTGATTCGCGATAATGGGTTTCGTGGTGGTTGTTGTTGGATGCATGGGTGACGCCAATGAATGTGCTAGTAGGTGGCCATGGGTGGTTGCTGGACAGAGAAGATGATGAAGGTGCGAAGATGGTGGCTGGTCGTGACCGTGCAGCGGCGGTTAGAGTTAGGTGGTGTTTAAAGTTTCTGTGCAGGAGAAATTAAGGTTTCTGGAGGTAGGAGATGATGATGACGTGTCAAGGGTGATGTGTCATTGATTGCACAACTGGACAGTGCGCTGTTAACGATTTAAACGTCATCTGCAAAAAGAACTAAATTGAACATAAATTACATTCTTTAGGACAACATTGAACAAAAAAAAAATTAGGACAATTTCGAATAAAACTTAAAAAAATTAAGACCAAAATTGATATTAAACCTCTCCTTTATATATATATATATATATATATATATATATATATATATATATATATATATATATATATATATATATATATATAAAATA